TAAATAATGAAGGCAACAGTTCAAGTATGTTTTTGATGAGGGAATAACATTATAACCTGATGCAAAGTTCCAAAGCAATGATTCTACATAATATGGCTTCTTTAATAATGAAGTGATCACAATCAGATTTCATTTTTCTATCAGCGCTAAAGTAGGATTCATATGGAGAACTTTCTCTGTGCTTTCTTTATTACAGAAGTTTTGGTTGAGGTAGTCAACAGACCTAATGAGAGTTTATGGCAGTGAAACATGTTGTGTGTTTCCTCCGGAAGTAATTAGGTGAAGCAACAACCTAACGGGAGCTGGTCATTTGGCAGCTCTGGCTCTGTGGATGACAGCTCAATGTGCTGCTGGTGCAAACAGAGGAAGATGGTGGGAGAGGAAGCAAGGATGATGGAACCCTATAGAGCATGACATGACATGTTTGTGTATTTGTGTGCACCAGACATCTGTGTCTTCCTTTTTTTTATTCTTTGCTTCATTCTTCCTCCACCTCTTCAATTCTCTCTCCTCCATCTTGCTCCCTGCATACCCGCCTGCCTCCCTGCGTGGCTCCCTCCATCGTCTCGGCTGTCGGAGGGGACAGCAGCTGCTTCGGAGCAGCTGTGGCACAGCAGGCTTGTCAAACTTCCATTGTACAGTCCTTATATTTTTGCTGCCTCTCTCTGCAGCTGCAAAATAGCATCCAGCATCATAGAACGAGCCTCGCCCTGCGGCTGTCTGACAGGCCATGGTGCCTGGGAGGTCCAGGCAGCGCCAGCCGGAACGCTGCAGCGCTCTGTCAGGGCTTTGCTCCCTGACAAATCCTGAGAGGAAAAAAGAACAAGAGAAAGACTGTGAATGACAGCAGCTAAATAAGCGGCAGAATTAAACACTGGCCGGAGACTCCAATGAGCAAAGGTTAAAAAAAATTCAGTTCAGTTCAATTCACTACTCGTCGTCTCTCAAAGCAAGACTAATTCAGCTATTTATTCCTGATGGGAAAATTAATCAAAAATTTTCCCAATGACAAAATTTTGTCATTGAGTTGAACTCTGCAAATCAAACGGTTCCTTACCAGATCGTTGCCGAACTTGACGGCACGCTAAAGATGTGGTGCAGTAGTTTGATTGGAGCAGAAATGCAGCAAGGCTACGATCAGGTCTTAATGCTTACTTCCCAGTTTTTGCTGAAATCCGATTTTTGCTTTGTTTTGTTTTGCGTGACTAATATCACACTGCTGTGTGGACGGTTGTGATCCTAAAGTGATGTCACACATTGTTTACAGAAGTTATATAAAATGAGTCTACGTATCAGGTTTAAAGTTTATTCAGCAATCAGCGTTGACAGAACTGTTTAATTCATAACAAGATGATGGAAGTGATGAAAAGAAAAGACGACCACTAGTGATGGCCTTCAGTGGATCGTTGGCTGCATGCAGCTTCTGTTTGGGTCAGTAGTCAGAGCCAAAAGTGGCCGATTGTGATGGGATGGTGTCCACTGACCCACACTTCTTTCATAATTTCATTATTATAACTTTCAGCCATTGTTTACATCCAGATTTACTACGTCTGAATTCTTGTGGTGCAAAATCATCCGAGTGACATGAAAGTCAGATGAAAAGTGATGTGATCATTTAGACAACAGGTGCTTTGAAAACAATCAAATATGTATCTGATTTAGTTCCACATACAGAAGTGGCAAAATCAGATTTTTTGCGGGGTGAAAAGGTTGGAACTTTAAGACTGAGATAGAAAATTTGGATATGCCCGCTGTGTGTCCTGGTGTCAGGAGGGCTGAAGGTGGTGACCCCTCTCCCATAGTGTGCAATTTTTTTCTTCCATTTACTTTCTTGTCCAGATCTAGTCCAGGATGTTTCGTTCATGTTCATACAATATTTCTCTATGATTTCCATCTCTATGATGGCAGTTAATTAACTAACTCAATCCTGCTGAGTGAGTTAAAACATGTTGGCCTTGCATTGGCCTGTGATGGACCATGGATGGACAGGCGACCGGTTCAGAGTGTACACCATCTCTGCACCACCATAGATAGGAGGCGGCATTAACAGTTTCATGGCAGTCCTTCAGTGCAGCAAGCTTCAGACAGATAACTGTGAGGGACATCAGGCTGTGACAAACGAAAGCATTTGCTCAATCCACTCCTTGCTGTCACAGATTTTCTGGGGTTGTTGGATCTTTTCTCGAGTGTGGGTGTGTGTGTGTTCTACTCATGTTGCTGCAGTTTTCACATGTGTCCCTCTGTGCCGCAGAGACTCGGCTAGCAGCCCATGCAGAGCTGCAGATCTAGCCCAGTGCCTTCTCCTAATGAGCAGGCTGTTGTTGGCCTGCCATGGGGACCCCGCTTCAGGGCTGGCACGCCCTGCAACACTTTACAAACTAATTAAACTCCAAAGTCTCCTCTTGCGCTAAAGTCAAGGCAGCTCTGATCTCAAAGAAAATCCAGGAGGAAAAACTTAATAGCTTTTTTTTCCTTCTTCTTCAAACTCTATTTGACTTTAGTCGCACAACCTTCAGCAATAGAAGCGATACTTATTGCTTTCTGCAGATCCCTATAAAAGTACTCACAGCCAGTGAACTTTTTTATATTATTTTCACTTTGCAACCCAAAGTATCAGTGTATTCTACTATTTTACACAATAGACAAACATGATCATAACTGTGAAGTGCAAGGAAGATTCATGTTTTTTAGAATTTTTCACTGTCTGTCGCAGGGCAACACAGAGACAAACAGGAGAAACGACCACGTACACACACACTCACACCTAGGCAGAATTTAAAGAGACCAATTAACCTGACAGTCATGTTTTTGGACTGTAGGAGGAAGCCGGAGTACCCGGAGAGAACCCACGCATGCACAGGGAGAACATGCTAACTCCATGCAGAAAGAACTCAAGGAAACAGTGCTACCAACTGCGCAACTGTGCAGCCATACACAGCTTTAGATCCTTTAAAACAAAGGTACAGCTTTTGTCACACATTTAAATCTCAGAATAACTCCCATTTGTTACCCGATCTACTGCATAAAGAATATACAATGTATTTGTAATATTTTTGTACACCAACATGTTCACATTAAGACACAATAAAGCTAAACAGATTTGACTCATGTAACAATTTAAACAACATAACAATATTATTTTCCAACGACTTCCAGAACCGTTTTATTTCAGAGCTAATAGAGCTGTTATTACGTACAGATATGAAGCAATCTGTACATATTAACAGATTGCAACACCTCCTGTACAGTAGCTTTATATCTCAGCTTTTTCCTCCCTGCGCCCTTTAGTTCAATTGCTATGACAACGATAAACAAAACTACAAAAGGACTTTATCTCCTCCATGGTTTTATGGCAGAATAAAGATCATATCCACAAATTCTCCCAAATGAGGTGTGAAACTCTGGAGCCTTTCAAAAATTGTAATGTACTGCATTTAGGGGTAGCAGAGTAAAAAATGCTGAAGACAAATCTATGCTAAGCCTTTGGTTAAAAAGAAAAAGACAGAAAAGCATATTTGACTTTTCTTCTGCTTGATAATTGAACAATACTTTATGTTGGACAATCGACACATTGAAGGAAAGCAAGAAACCGTAAAAGTGTTCAGAGGGCATGGACACATTGGTAAGGTTCTGTAACATAAAATCAAGAAAATGATGGACAACCCGTACCATCCTCTTCATGAGTCCGTCATAGAAAAAAAGTGTCTTCAGTCGGAGGCTTTTGCAAATTCGCTGTATTACAGACTGCTACAGGACATTGTTCCTGCCCACAACAATCCACAGGAACGCTTCAAAGACTTGAACTAATTTGATTTACAGCAACATAAGTATTTTTGTGGTTAAATTTGATTTTAAATAATTAATTGAGGTTTATAAAAAGGGATTGATTCATATTGTTCCTGACAGCTTTGTATTTGAAATTTGTTATGTCTGGCTTATTTATTGTAAAATAAAAACAGAACCTGTCTTGAAGGAATGAGAGTTGGGGTCTGTCTACATGCTGGAACTCTTTGGTCTCAGCAGTGATGGAGGGGGAAACATGCTGGATTCCACCCTAGAAGTCGAAACATTATTTACATTTTTTTGGCTCTAGTGGCCTTTATTTGAATGTGCTCAGAAAGAAAAGTCAGGCAATGAGAAAGAGGGAAGACATATGAGAAAGGTGACCAGGCCAGAAATAGAGGACTAAGGTCTCCATATGTGGGTTATTCTGAACTCCTGAGCCACCACAGCATCCTGAGAAATTCATTATTAAGTTTATTGAAAACTTATGATAAAAGGATAATTTGCGATTTTTACCTTCAGCATCTTGACTGTTTGCACGAAGACATAAATGGGTTTAAATCATCCGATCAGAGTCTGTTGCTACAAAAGTAGCCATGCCACATCAGTTGGGCTTTCTTGAATATTTCCATATGAAAATGCAGCGTTTCCTCTGTTGTGCTGCCTCCAAGTTTCGCTCGCTATTGAAATCCAGACAGGCATCAGATTGGCAGGCAGCCCGCTGTGTAGCATCATCTCTCGCCAGCCAGCTGCACTTCCTGTGATAAGGCTGCCATTCATTCTGGGCCCGAAAGTGCTGGATTCAATCTGGCCATCTGCCGATTGCTCAGCGTTTCTGTCTGTCTCCGCATAAACTGCAGCACATATTTCTGTCAGTCAGGACCTCCACAGTGTTTACCGCCTTCGTTTCATTTCATTGGCTTGCGCAGAATAATCAGTTGAAAAAACTCATAAAACCCCTCAAACCAGAGACTTTTGAACAAGTTAAATATGATGAACAAAACTTGATTTAGCAGGCAGTGATTACACAGAGCAAATATTCTGAAAAGTTGATGAGTGACTGAATGCAGTGACAGCCTCTTTCCTTGTCACCCTCAGCTTGTGAGAAGAATGATAAGTCTTTGAAGCTGGTGTCTGATCTGAATAAAACGACCAGGACCTCCATTAGAAAATGCTCAGCTGGCTTTGGGCTCTCATCTTTTTCTGTCTCTCTGCAGAGCGGAGAAACGGCGGGGCTTTGGAAGAAGCTTAAAAGACAGACGCCTTCAACAGAGATGTGAAGAGAGTGTGTAACTTTCTAACGACACAAAGAGGAGGAGGTATGAGGTTTCAAATGGTTTTAAATGGTTTACTGTTTCAGAATAAAGGTGCACCATATTGAAAATATCAGAACCATGTCTATGTTCCTGATGGAGCCTCAGCTCTAACTGTGCAGATCATCACAACCTGTAGAGACTTAGTAGGGAAAGGCTTGCCAAAATAATTCATATTACTATATATTATATACAAAGAATAAAACAAAAACATACCTTCTGATACACATATGAAATTGTTCATTGTCCCATCATTTTACAGAACTTTTCATGGATCATATCTGATATGTTTAAAATAAAATGCAGGTTTTAACAATGAAACACCCAGACGCGATGCCACTGACATGCTATTAACATGTCAGCAGCATGTCAGCAGCATTCACTTTCCTTGCTGCTGATTGGTTGTGCTTCCAAAAGCAAAATTCGGGAAGACAGTAGATATTACCTTCTCTTGAAGTAAGGCATAAACCTGTTTCTGATTCATGGCTATAGCAGGTTAGCAAACAGAAGGAGTGCTTTCCTTCGAATTACCATCTGCTTCATTAGTAAATATGCACGTTATCGCAGTAACACTTCAGACATTAACAGATGTATTGCATTCGATGACTGTATGAAGCTTTTATAAATGCAAATGTTGAAGTGCTGTTAACACTTAGTTTACGCGCATGAAATTTTGACACCCAAACATCACACATAAACATCACCTAAAATAATGGAAAGTTATTTTGGGGGGAAAAAACATCATCACCTCTTTTCTTGCCAAATGATGATAGAGGAAAAAATAAACATTTTTTGACAATGAATGACTTAGGCCGTTATATTACAATGGGAGCGATAGTTTACGCATGGTTTTCTTGTTGCACAAAAATCACATGAATTCTTCTTGCATGTTTGTCCCAGAAGACTTTCCATAGAGGTGCCTGTTAAATAAGATGACCCTCTGCACAGAATTAAACAGTGAACTTAAATGAATCCATACATGTACAGCTTTAGAATTCAAACAAAAAACATTGATGAAACATAAATGAATAACTGAACTCAAATTATAGACAAAACAATGAAAAAGGTTTATGGCAACAAAACTATTTATTTACTGTGTCCTAGATTTTTCATGTAGGAGATAATCGTAATCCTCTTAGTGAGAACACGTTTTTCTCATCATGCCTGAGGTGTCTGCTAAGCAAAATATTATCGGAGGGTGTGAGGGCCGGGGCTGGGGGTCTAATCAGGAAAAAAGAATCAGACAGACAGCAGCTGGCTTTGCTGCAGCACTTTGTTCACAGTGGAACAGACTGGGATCGTAAAAATCTCTTGACAACTAAATGTTATTGCTTGAGGTATTGTGAGGCAGCCACATATGAGAAATATATATGTGTTTATGTAATCAAAGTCAGGCGCAAAGATATTAAACTGGAGAGCTCCTAAATGAAGATGCATGCACTGCAGTAACCCTCTGTGGTCTGTTTGTCTGCTTTTATTTCCAGTTAGATGCCTGAAGGTCCAGTCAGTTAGGCTGAACTCATCACAGTGTGAATCTGGATTTTATATCAGCCAGTTTAAATTTTTAATTGAAAAATACTGACAAGACTTTTAAGGCAGTGCCAGTAATTTACAGATGATAAGCATGATCAGGTTTAAACTGTTTACTTTGCAAAACATCAGCTAAGGGAAAATAAAATAAATCTCTAACGTCAGCTTGTCTGGGTGATTGTTGTCTGGGTTATTGAAAATATTTAATTGTGTAAAGCTGAGCAGTGACTCTTAGATCATTTGCAAATAACTTTTGTGCTGAATCCAGATGCAACAGAATGTCCAGTGATAACTGAAACGCCGTGTGCTTGCTGCTTAGAAAGGATGTAAAGCCTCTACATCCTCTGGAGCTATTAATAGTCCCTCATCCTACAGAGAAAGATTATTCCCATGTGGAAAGCATCTAGACGGCTGTTAATCTTTGAAGGAACCCTCCTCTCAGCAAAAGGGCTGCAAGGTCAGACTGAGAATTTTAAAAAATTGCAAAAAAAAAAAGAAAAAGAAAAATGAAACAAGAAACCAAAGAGCTTTTTCTGAGAGTTCTCAACACATCAGGTTCATAGCAGAACAGTGAGGAGAAAAGCATGCAGTATTACTTGGCTTAAAGTTTTGAAGGAGAAAGCTTTGGATCTGAGTAAAACATCAGACAGCAAAAAATAAAAGGCCATGGTTTTCAAAATGAGTGAAGCACGATGGTGGAGGGGAGGTTATTTGGACTTGCTCCACAGCTACTGGTCTGTGTTAGAGTTATTAAGTTGACTTCTGTTCACCAAAACCATCCTGTTGTCTAATATGAAGCCAAACTGCTTGACAGATGAGGTTTTGGGATCATCATCGAGTCAATGATCCCCAACACAGCAGCTAATCTACATCAGCATGACCAAAAAAGATAATTAACAACATGATGCAAAAGTCTAGGACTTATCATTGAGATGTTCTGATGACAAGAATAATGAACAACCACAAACCTCACACTGAAATTATGTTGAGTTCCATTTAAATCCTGGGGTGTGTTGAGCTTTTTACCCTGACTGGAATCAGTAGTCATTTGTCCAGCAGCTGCATTTCCATTAACCATAGAACAGGAACAGCTGAAACAATTTTGCTGAATAAAAACACCAATTCTGTAAAAATTCACATCTTTTGAGAAAAAGTAGTTGTGCTGGGATGAGGTGGTTTTTCAGCTGCACCAAAACAGATGAATTTTGCAAAGCTGCAATGAAAACATTTTTTTTTCCATCTTACGAGTCACATGATCAACAGCTGGATGTTACTACTGAAACCCTGAAGAAGACAGGAAGTAGTAGAAGGATGATGGTTTGTTTCTGTTTCTTTTATGTGAAGGTGGTTCCACCAGAACTCTCACTGCATCACACAACTGATTAAAAGTTGCATCATTTCTACATGTTAAATCTATAGCTCTTCTGTAAAATCACCAAATACAATTTTTTTCCAAAACCCCCAAATAGAGTGAAATAGAGCCACTCCCACATTTAAAGTAACGGCTTGTTGTTCCAAAGCCTGAACAAGCTATCTCATATAGCTATTTACATCTGTGTCTGACATAGTCACATGAACAAGCCTATCCATGTGCAATTTTAATTTAATTTCTCATTCAATGGAAACACTTCAAAATAGTAAAATAGAGTTTTTTTTTTTTTTTTTTCAATATCTGTAGAATGTAGACTTGTGCACATTTGCAATGGAAATGCAGCTTCTGTGCTGAAATGAAAGCCACCAAAGGAAGATCTGGGCAGCGATAGCTACAGAACTAGTGAAGGACAGATTAACAGTCAAGACAGACTGTGGCAGCTGCAACAGTAGCTGAAAATAATAAAACAAAAACTTTGTCATGTTTAGATGAGAAGGTTAAAGGAAGCTTCAAACATCATTTAAATAAACCATTGTTTAGAAGATTCAGACCACTTCCACCTTTTCAACTGGCACACCTTTTTGCCTCTAACTGAGCCTGTCTGCATCCCCGCTGCCCCAACATGCACACGCTCCCTCTTCCTCCTCCAGCTGATAATCCCTCAGGCTACTCTTGATTGTTACTTCAAATCTTTCAGCTCTCTAAAAGTGCTTGTGAAATCAGCTAAACTGTGAGCAGAGTGGCTGGGTGGGTTATTTCCCCCCCACCACTTTCCGCACCTCTTCCACTTCTCCTTCACTCAAGTGTTTCCATTCATTATGTGCATGACATTCTTTGTCTGAAGGACATTGGCGGTCAGCCAGGAGTCTCCGCTGAGCCAGTCCAGGCGTTTAATTGAAACCATAAAAGAACTTTCTGTTGGCACAAAAGCCCTCATGAGGGCTTTGTTGCAATTAGATAGACCAGAAAGGCCAGTGAACCTGATGAAAAGGGATTAGCAGGAATGTGTTGCCTGGATATTATGTGAAGTGTGCCGCGGCAGCTTTCAGAAGAATTAGTAAAGGCTTGACCTGTCCACCACCGGTCAGAGAAAAGGACAAACTGATGACTAATGTAGTGAGAAAAGGCAAAGCTTAAAACCCAGCTTCACTTCCAGGCCTGCAGAACATTGGGCACGCTGCTGCTAATCAGTTGCTCCCACCTACAGCCCAGCAAAGCACTCTGACACAGTTACTGGCAACTTCATTATAGGATCTGGCCCAGTGTGAAGGTTTAACTAACACAGCTGCAGAGGGCTCACAGTGCTGGAGGTGTGCCTCTAGTCCACTTAGAACCATAAAGGTACATATGGTGATTCTTCATGCCTTATTAAACTGTATCTGAAGCTGGAGATCACACTGTTTTTGATGCCTGGCCATGTTTCTTTCCATTTTTCATAACTTTGGCGGTTTTGATGCAAATTAATGAAATTTGGCCAGGTTGTGAATTATGCAGGTAAAATTAGACAAATTTAAAAGTTAAAACAAGATGATAATGATAATTATTATGACACATTATACGCCAATTAAAAGAGCATTTGGGTGTGTGTGTGTGGGGGTGAAGGGGAGGGGGGGCGTGTGTGTGCGTGTGCGTGTGGCTGTGTGTGTGTGTGTGTGTGTGTGAGAAAGAGGCCTCTTTTTTTCAATTGAGGCAAAGAAAGAGGCCTGGGAAAATGTCCTTGTTTCAACCAGTGTCCTGCTTTGTTAGTAATAGTTATTATAATGCTGTGTATACATATTATTGCCAAAAGTATTTGCTCACCTTGATTTATATATGAGCCTAAATGGCATACCATTCCTATTGCCGGATGGAGACGATCTGAAAGCCACATGAAGTTTGAAGGCCTGTAGTGACTGACTCTGTAGAACCTGGCGACTTCTTCACACAATGTGCTTCAGCATCCGCTGATCCCACTCCATCAGTTTACATGACCCACCACTTCATGGCTGAGTTGCTGCCGTTCCCAAACATTTCTGTTTTCTTATAATACAGCTGACAGTTGACTGGAATATTTAGGATTTAGATTTGTTGCACAGGTTCATCCTACCACGGTTCTGTGGGCTGTGGTAGGATGAACATCCTTGGGGGATGTTTATTATTAATGATTTGAAATAAATAAAATTATTGTTATTATTCCCATACGAGAAAAATAAACACATGAATTACTATCACTCCTATGAATAACTAATAAAACCAAACTATGTTTGTCAGTTCCATTCATTAAACCTGCAGTTTACCTTGAACATCAGTAATTGTGATACCAATTAAAATCATGTTTTCCTGCTGAGTGTATAATCAGAGGGATCATCCCAGATTCTGACTGTTAGAAACCAGATCTTAGGCCTCCCAGGGATGCAGGGTTACAGTTTTACTAAATCTCCTCTTGCTGCAAACCTAGTTTTTCTGACATGATTGGAGTGTTCCCACTCAGCGGGGCTGCTTCAAGGTGGATTAGGGCTTGCTGCTGTGAGACCAAAGTTATTCTCAGCTTCATCATAACCCTGTCCTCAATTCCAAAGCACTTTATAAATAGATGAACAAATAGAGCGCTGCTACTTTTATGGGCTGGGCCTTTTGTTTCACAGAGCAACTCTGCAAGATTTTTTTTAATTGGGAATTTTGTAAAAGATGACTGCTGCAGTGCTGAGGTCAAGATTCTAAATGACATATTTCCAACATTTAATTGCTGATTAAATTGATTTGACTTTTTTGTCTTTTCTTTAGGTTAAATCGAGGTGTGTGCGTGCGTGTGTGTGTGTGTGTGTGTGTGTGTGTGTGTGTGTGTGTGTGTGTGTTGCGTGTGTGTGTGTCTGACCTGTTTCCCGTCAGATCAGCAGCCAGTAAAATGTGAAAGCAGAACTGGTGTGAAAACTGCCCCCCAGTGGAGAGATTGTGAACGGCGTGGAAACTGGTCCCAATATTTGTTGAGGCTCCAACATCTGTACTGCTACAGTTATGTGTATGAAGGTGATCCAGGACAGAACTGTACTGCAGAGGGGAGATGGCTTCAAATGTTGCAGAACCTTTAGCTGTTCAGCAGGTGTTGTGTGTGTGTGTTATGTTTCTGTCCGTTGAGAGAAGTTCTCGTCACACTGCCTCTGCACCATCTCAGAGGGCCGTGGTGGAGGCTTGTGTGGGTGGGGAGGGTCAGCTGGTGTTGTGAATCAGGCCGCTGAGGTGTCAGGGACGGCTTCTTCACAACACCAGGGTTCCTCCCAGCCATTTCCTGCTGGAATACATCAGTGATCTGCAAGAGAGCTGGCCTGAAATTTCCACAATTGGAACAAAATGCATTTTTCAGTCTGATATAAATGGACACAACGGCCTTGAGTTTGCTTTGGATTTTGCTGGAATGATGATATTATTGAAAACTATTTAACCAATATTTCTTATAAACTGAACTTGACTTCATTAGCTGCATTTCCACTGACCATATAATTGCAAAAATTGTAATTACAAAAATAAATTAGCTTAATGGAGACTTGCCAATAAAAAATAAATAAAAATTTTAATAAAAAAAAATGTAGTGCTTGATGTGCTTAAATTAGTGTATTTTACAAAACTGCAATGGAAACACTTTTTGCATCATGGGAGTGATATGATCAGCAGCTGGATGTTACTACTGGCAAAAAAGAAGACGACTACAGGAAGTGGTAGGAGGATGACGATTTTGCATGGTTTTTAAATCTCACATGAACCGACTTATGCATGTGTGATTTTAGTTGTGTTTTGTATTTAATAGAAATTCTGCAATAGCCGAATTGTATTTTTTTTACATTAGCAGAATACTGATAAAGTTTTGCGCACATTTGTAATGGAAATACGTCTACTGTTTGATGACGATGATAAATGTGGAGTGGATGTAATTGACTCTGAATTTGTCTTTATGATTGAATGAAATTGATGTTTTTTGTAAAGCGTCTTGAGAGGGTCAAATATTCAATAAATTCTAAAGAAAACAATTGGGTATTGATCAACTTTCTGACCAAGGTCCTCAGTCAGGCTTCACCAGCCTGACTCCAGTCAAGTTGCAGAAATGTCTAAAGGATGATCAGATGAACCTGATCTCAGTTCAGAGTTTCAGAAAGAGTGTGACTACTTATGCATGTATTGTGTTTGGATGTTTGCATTTTTTAAAATTATTTTTGTAAATATCTGATAAGAAAAATAAACCTTCAACTTCTATTTTAATAAATGCCTCAATGTTGTTTATGACTCCTTATTACCACTTATTATACAACATGACAATTTTTTTTACAATTAAAATGTATACACAGTTTTGTATTTGTTTTATTTTTATTAAATGAAACAAATTTCAGTGTACTACAGTACTGTATGATCTAGAACATAACTAATTAATTATACAGGAGGAGGAATAAAAATAACCAGAAGAAACATGGATGGATGGATGGATGGATGGATGGATGGATGGATGGATGGATGGATGGATGGATGGATGGATGGATGGATGGATGATGGATGGATAGATAGATAGATAGATAGATAGATAGATAGATAGATAGATAGATAGATAGATAGATAGATAGATAGATAGATAGATAGATAGATAGATAGATAGATAGATAGATAAATAGATAGATAGATTGATAGATAGATAGATAGATAGATAGATAGATAGATAGATAGATAGATAGATAGATAGATAGATAGATAGATAGATAGATAGATCTTCCTTTAATGATCAAACACTGGTCTTGTTAATCTGGGCGACTTCATTCAGGTAGGCGATGAATAACTTGGTTCCTTCGATGTAGTTGTACCTGCAAAATAAAAGTTTACTTTGTGCATTTATTAAAATTTTTCAACTCAGTTGCACGTTCCTTTGATTCAGACTATGCCATTTTTAGTAACTGCACAGTATTTTATTTATTAATTTTGCCTTTACTGCACACTGTTACTCCTAAATTAATTTTATATATTGCATTATATGCTGCCTTTCCAGCCTCATCTTTATGTGACTCTCCATGCGTGAATACCTGTTACTTCCCTAATGTCACACCAGATGTCCCCCACTGTGGGACAGTAAAGCATATTTCTATTTAATTGTTCATTCAGAAACCTCAGTGAGTTCCCACGTGCATCAACATAAGAATGACTTCAAAGAAGGAAAACTAAACTTTTAGAACCGACTAACCAAGTGGATGAAATTAATCTGAAATAAAATCTGTGGAGTCACATGAGGATAAAGAGCTTCCAACAGTGCAGTTGGGCAAAAGAAACCAAACTGTAAATAATTAAGCTTATCCTGTGAAAAAAAGAAAAGTAGAGTAGTTGTTAGGCATGAAGTGTGTAAAACCTGCTCATTTTCTCATTCTGGGAGTGCATTCCATCGTCAAAACCTCCAATGGGCATCATGATGATGCTTTTCCCCGTCACATCCTGGAAGGTTCTGGCAATGGGAATGGTCCCACCTTCACGGATTAGATCAGGATCCACATTGAAAACTGAAAGAGAGCCAATATGTATCATGTAAGTATAACTCAAATGCAAAAACTCTTTGTCTATTATATGTTCTTCAGTGTTGGAAAAAAACAAAAAAAAGCAATTTCAAAAGCCCTAAATACGTTTACAATTTCACAAATAAGCACAAAATCTCTTGTTAGGTTAACAAGCTTCTGTAAAGACAAACAGTTCAGGTAGACGAGAATGGAAATAAAACTGTGTGCAGCAGAGATCTTTTTTTTACTGTCTATAATGGCTCTAAAAGGCTGTTGTAGGATCCAGTCCATGGAAAGCTGAAGTAACTTTCTTACCCCTCTTGATCGCTGCCTTTCCAGCCTCATACAGAGGGTGCTTAGTGTCAGCCAGCCAGGGCTTGGCCCCAATTACCATGGTAACTTTCAGCTTGTTAGGACTCTTTCTCTTAGCAAACACAGAGTGAAGGTAGTCTGTCACCTAAAGCACAAAAAAGACACTTTAGTAAAACCAAGCACTACATAAATCAACACTATAAAGCTCTCATATATGCTACCTGTTTCTTGACCGCTGCTGGGTCCATGTCAGGGACTTGTCTTATTGAGAACTTAGCAGTAACCTTAGCAGGGATGACTGTCTTTGTGCCGGAGTCAGAGAAAGCCCCCTCTATACCATGGATGGAAACGGTGGGATAGCGCCACCTGTGGGCCAACACGTCCACCTTTGGAAGAGCAATACAGAGGCCATCCTTTGTAGAGTTGAGTGAAAACTCTTGTTTTTTTTTCCAACTTGACTTTTTACTACCTTGTTGTTGTACATGAGGTGGCTGACGCCAGTCTTGTTCTTGTAATTGTCCACATCAAACTCAATATCCTGATACATTTTCCATTCTTCATCCGACAGAGGAGCCACTGCTTCCCGGATCCCTGGAATCAGAATCTTTCCACTGGGGCCGATGAGTGTGTCTGAGAGAAAAGTGACCATAAAGCAACTCAGGATGTTTTTAGAAACAGCGAGTTTTTTTTTTAACATATCAGTTAATTCCTGATTTTATACAAAAAGGGTTGCAATGACTTTATTATAGGGTGAGTTTGGTTTTGATAGATTTTTTCCCTTGATGAATGAAATCATTGTCTGAAAACAGTTTTTCATATTTGCTCATGTCATCTTTGAGAGTAACATTATTTGACCGTCACAAACATTATCGTTTGAAAAAATTTGGAAACCAATGGCAGCTAAATACACGAGATAATTTATTACAACAACGTATAGGTTTGAACATTTTTTTCAAAATGATTATTTCTTAGGAGATTTGTCAGGAGGCTTTTGATTTTATTTTTAGATCTGACAAAAATGTTTTTTTGTTTTTTTTCAAAATGTACAAAGCACAAACTACTGCAAAACATATAGGCACTACATTATAAACCAATTCAGTTATAACTTCTCTATCTTAACTGGTCATTTCTAAACATGCAAGTATTTTAAGGGTTGTTTTCCTTAGAGATCAAAGGGTACTGCTCCTTCAGCCCTTCAGCTAGTTCACTGGGGACCGTTTCGATGAGAAATCTTCATTCTCAAAGGCAAACAACTGTGTAAACTATCAAAGGGAACAAAATAGCAAACCAACAGGGCAAAGTGTGAAGATCAAAGGGAGACTCCCTTTAGACCCACCAAGGATGCCAATGAGGTCAGTCATTGGTTCGATCACAGTCCCTCCATAGACACCAGAATGTAAGTCTTGTTTAGGGCCTTCAATCTACAAACACACAACACAGTAAGAATCAAATACAGAGAGAAGTGTTTCAAGAAAGATTTCTACAACCTCAGCAAAGAAGTAGCAGTTCCCTCTGGTGCCATAGGTTAAGGCTGGCCGTCTGCTCAGCCAGCCACAGTCAGAAATGACGATGTAGTCCACATCGGAGAAGAAGGTGTCTCTCTGTGCCAGGATCATTGCATCCAGTCCGTTAGAGCCTGTCTCCTCCATACCCTCAATGAGAAACTTCACATTCACTGGCAGGTCCTGGTGGATGCCAGCAGTAGAGTTTAAGAACAAATGCAGTAATTGTTTCAGAAATATAGCAATTTGAAGTTAAAACTATGTTTACATAATGCATAATGTTGTCTCTTCGGGGTTCGGTGTGTTTTCTCTCACCATACTGAGAGCTTGGTAAGCTTGTACAGCATGGATCCAGGCCAGAACTGGAGCCTTGTTGTCTGACGTTCCTCTTCCATAAAGATTACCTGAAGGTACAGTGCCATAAAACTTATTTATTTATGACAGTATAACTAGAAATTTCCATAGGTCAGAAAAATTTAAATGCCGATCACAAATGATGTAATTTTTGAGCTGTTTCAAACAGACATAATAGGTATCTTTGGACTGATGTGTGAAAAATAATTCCACAGGAAGAAATCATCATTTAATCAGTTAAAAATTTAAGCTGTATTAAGAACATAACTACCGTTGATGTCTGTCAGGTTGTAGGGGTTGGTAGTCCAGCCGTCCTCCAGCTTCGCAGGCTGAACGTCCACATGACCATAGACACACACTGTGTGTTTGCTGGGGTCACTCCCAAACTGAGCTGTCACTACTTTTGGCAGTGCTACTGTCTGTCCACTTGGAAGCTGCATTTACAAAGGGATGGTTAGTATTCCCACATTTCTACAAAATGATACATAA